AAAGGCCCACAACAGCCACGCCCTCTTTCCTGCATATCGGTCACTCTGCTGCAGCTTTTAAAAAAAGAACATTTTAAGCAGAGGTGAAATGCAGAAATGCCCTAATAAAAGTTTTGGTTGAAGATGAATTTAGATTAAAGTTGTGATTCGATTGGGTCTCTTTCTCCGTCTCCTGGTACCAGGGCATCTTGCTCCAGCTGTTTGGGGGCACTCGAAAGGACTTCAGTCAGACCGGCCGCGGGAACTTCCGTGCCGAGGTGAACATCCTGCTTTGCGGAGACCCCGGCACCAGCAAGTCCCAGCTGCTGCAGTACGTCTACAACCTGGTGCCCCGCGGCCAGTACACGTCAGGAAAGGGCTCCAGCGCTGTGGGTCTGACCGCCTATGTGATGAAGGACCCAGAGACCAGGCAGCTGGTGCTGCAGACCGGCGCGCTGGTCCTGAGCGACAACGGCATCTGCTGCATCGACGAGTTCGACAAGATGAGCGACAACACGCGCTCCGTGCTGCACGAGGTCATGGAGCAGCAGACCCTCTCCATTGCAAAGGTATATGTCACCACATTTAATACGTAATCGTTTGGAAGTACGCAAACGGAAGGAGCTTTCGGTCTCACGGCGTTTGTGTTTTCGTGCCCTCAGGCTGGAATCATCTGCCAGCTGAACGCCCGCACCGCCGTGCTGGCTGCTGCCAACCCAGTGGAATCCCAGTGGAACCCCAAAAAGACCACAATCGAGAACATCCAGCTGCCTCACACTCTCCTGTCCAGGTGAACATCACTGCATTGAAACTCCCGATGCACCGATCCACATGTTGCTGTGTTGCAAACTAAACGTAACTTTGTGTTTGTTGCGCCGTCAGATTCGACCTCATTTTCCTGATGCTGGATCCCCAGGATGAGGCTTACGACCGCAGGCTGGCTCACCACCTGGTGTCTCTCTACTACCAGACTGAGGAGCAGATGGAGGAAGAGTTCCTGGACATGGCCGTGCTGAAGGACTACATCGCGTACGCGCGAACGTACATCAACCCAAGACTCAGCGAAGAAGCCAGCCAGGCCCTCATTGAGGTCTGTGGAAACTCTGTGGCTTAATTTAACCCTTTTAGCAAACATTTTAGTCGATTCTTAGAGTTCTATGTAGCTGACCTTGTTTACGTTCATCCGCAGGCCTACGTTGACATGAGAAAGATAGGCAGCGGCCGTGGGATGGTGTCCGCCTACCCAAGACAGCTGGAGTCCCTGATCCGCTTGGCAGAGGCCCACGCCAAGGTACGCTTCTCCGAGAAAGTGGAGACCATTGACGTGGAGGAGGCCAAGCGGCTGCACCGAGAGGCCTTGAAACAGTCGGCCACAGATCCTAGAACAGGATTTGTAGACATCTCTATTCTGACAACAGGTACGGAAGACAGTGAATGTATTTCTAAAGGTGCTGACATGAGAAATTAAAGATGCACTTTATGAGGGTCAGGCTCATTTTACAATGGCCTTGCTTTGAAATACTAGTTCCATTTTCTCCATTGTGAAGGTGCCACTTGGGCTTTTCCGGCCTCTTTATAGGACAACTTTTTAACCCCAGATTAATTATGCAAATAACCCCTAGGTTCAGTCCTGCAGTTGCATTTCAATGCATTGTTCTTTGCTTGATTACAGGCATGAGCGCCACAGCACGCAAGCGCAAGGAGGAGGTAGCCCAGGCCCTGAAGAAGCTGATCCAGGCCAAAGGGAAGACGCCAGCCATGAAGTACCAGCAGCTGCTCGATGACCTCAGAGGACAGTCTGAAACTGTGAGTCTTTTAAATCTTTATTTTTATTAAGCCAGCATGAAGTCAAAGCTCAAATATCAGTTTGATTTCAGCTCTTCAGATGGCGATCGCTATGGCCGTAGCGTGGCACTCGTTCCTCATTAGACTGAACAAAAGCCAAGCTCTAACATTTCTCCGTATCCTCTAAAATATCACAAAATTCAGCCAGAGTAGCCGTCGACACGTTTGCACCCTCTGAGTATTTGCTGCACTTTTGCATCACTTCCTCTCTAATGGCTTCCTCCTGTCTTGCCCCGTTTGCAGGCGATTACTAAGGAGCTGTTCGACGAGGCGTTGCGAGCTCTGGCTGACGAGGATTACTTGACAGTCACTGGAAAGACTGTTCGTCTCCTTGCTTGAGGCACACCCTGCAATTATGTACAGTCCTTAATTTTAAATCCTATCCCATGTCGACTTCTTTACTCGTGCTGTAAAAAAAAAACGTATTTGTTTAACCGAACCAGCATGTGCTGAATATCTGGGTGTATTAGATGTTTATAGCACCCCAGATTGGTGATTCAGAAGCACCCAATGACTCATTAAACGCTGGTTTCCTGTTGCAGTTTTTATAGGAATGTGTAAAAACTGCATCCAGTGTTGACTTAAAGAGCTCATATTTGAAAGTACTTATTTTCTTTGTTAACTTGTTTTGTGCTGTGATTAAAAAGCTCTTTGGATAACTTGTACATTATAATCGCAGACTTTGTCTTCAAGAAACTGTTAAAGCAAGCTTGAACTTATTTTGTGTTTTTTCTTTTGGATTGAGTAGCTCATGTTGACTATTTGTTTATAGAGAATAAATAAAATGATGTTCACTAAAGGTTTCTTACTTCTGACCTGCATATTTCACCAGTTTTTCTATGTTAAGTTGTTTAAGTATACAGAGACTTATTATGAACCATTAAATAATGACATGTAGACATGCTGGTCTCGTCATGTGTCTACTTGTCTATGATCGTCTCCACTACCAAACCCGTTTTATCATTTAACAATGTAGGGCTCGAGCAGAGGAAATGCAAATGTTGAAAGCATTTCACTGGCATGAATAATTGAGTATGGTTTAAAACGACTTCAAAAATATACTCTCCAAGCATTTCTGAGTTTCCCAGACATTTCCCAGAAGGTCAAGGTCCAAGGTCAGAATTGAGGTCAAAGGGTCAAAATCATAATTTCATTTTAATTTGACTTTCATACTTTGATTATTCAGAAGAGTCCAATTTAATCAAAACTAGATGGCTAGTTCAGAAAGAGTGGCTATTTTAGGTCAATTTTTTTCCCAAAGGTCAAAATGTATGATAGTCATTTCTGCTTTCAATTAAGAACTTTTGGTCTTGGTAGCATTGTGCCATATCATCAAAACTAGAACCAACCAACCATTTTTCATTTATCTTGACCCAAACTAGAATAAATGTAGTCAGACTCTGTCCCAGTGTTCAGTGTACTGTTGCTTTTGTGCTCCCTGGCACTTTGGTGCAGTCCTTCACTCACACTGGCTTAGCTCAATATCTGTGAAGCAATCGGAGCCATGAATAAAAAAAAAAGTTAGTTTGACCTACTCAGCCGGGGGGGTTGAAGTGGTAAAACATGAGCGCGAGAGCCTGCTGTCGTATAAAATCATGCTTAAACGGACGTGCCAAGCAGCTCTTTTTTGTGGCTTTATCTCAGATTATGGCGGAGACCCCGGAGTTTGTACACCTGCAGCTGGAGCCAGAATGATGTGTTGCTATAGCAACTACAGCTACATGGCAGCAATCAGAGTCAGCGATGAGAGTGGGTGACTTGACCAGCTACATCCACCATTTTGTCTTATCTGTGACCACACTTCATCTGCTTCCCAAATCTGCTGCACATCCTCTAGCAGTTAATCTCTGGCCTGATTATAAATGTATAAAGTATGTTTTTTGCTATTGTATTTTTATTGTAGTCCAATTTTATCAGGTCTGACATTAGCCAAATAAATGGATAAGATATTGGAGGGAGAAAAACCTTTAATCCAGATCTGTAAGCTTAAATTATCCAATAACCTGACCACTGAAAAGATGCAGTTAAGCCAGATGTGTCTCGAATCTCTCAGATCTCTGCTCTTGATAGCTTAACTGTTTCTTTCCTTCTAACAGTGCAACCTGCATAAATTCTGGACCTGGAATGGACACCTGTATTATCCACAAAAGTGTGTTTAAAGTTTCAAAAATAAAATAAATCTTTTGTTTTGTGAAATATCCGACCCTTCTCATCCTGTTTTAAATGTAACTGAACTCTACAAATCAGCAGACGAGGTTTTGTCTAAGAAGGTCAAAAGCCCGACAATTTGGGAGATGCTCGCTTAATTTTGAACGGTGATGTGTGACGTGTGCAAAATCCTAACCTGCCGAGCTGTCAGCTGAAACCAGGCTGAAATTTACAGGAAAAAGATGATAGTTTTTGTCGGTCATAATGTCCAAAGTATGGGGGTATGATAGAAAACTAATACAGCCTGCATGTATTTTTATTGAATCTGTAAGGGTTATTGAATCTATTTATTGAATCTGTTAGGGCTCTAATCCTAATCAAAAAGAAGCTGCACTGACTTAGTCTTAACTTTAATTTCAACATGGTGGCGCAGTGGTTAGCACTGCTGCCTCACAACAAAGGGGTCCTGGGTTTGAATGCATTGGCTGGCTGGGGCCACTTTGTGTGGAGTTTCCATGATCCCCATCCCTGCAGGGTGTTAACTCATGACTCTAGATCAACTTTGTAAATGATTGTATGCCTGCATGTTGTCTCGTGAGTCCTGCCACTGCTTTGGTTTGCAAACTCCAGCTGTCCCCCTCTTTTATATGCTGAATGTAAAAACACTTCCACAAATGTTGGCGCAACCCCGTGTTAAAGCTCCTCAACCCAGCTGATAGAGCAGAGAAGAGAGGACCATCCTTTTTAGGAACTAAGACATCCTTTAACATAGCAGACTGATTGCCAAGCCATGTGCAGGAGAATTGGGAATTGAACCGCGGTGGGCTCTCCCAAACTGATGTCTCTAAAATTGAAGAAGTTTCACAAGAATGGATTTGTAATTTTTATTATTTATTCTTGCATTTAAGCAAGAATAAAACCCATCAATTCAGTCATCAAATTGTGTCCAGGGGTCCAGACATGACCCAGGCATGGTCTTAAGGTTTTCCTGGGACTCGTTAATGCCCCTCAGCCCCAGTTGGCCAAGGATGGTACCAAGCAAGTTAAAGGCCTACTGTAAGAGCACAGAATCTGAACCACACGAGGCAAGTTAACAAATAAATGCAGCCGTCTTCTGACGATACAATCAAATAACTGACAGAACACAAAGGCTCGTCTCACATTTGCCAAAAAAAACATGGCGACTATTCCCAAGACCTTTGAGGAAATGTTATGTGGACTGATGAGACAAAAGCTGAACTTCTGGGAAGCTTTTGTTACATTTTCTTTGTTACAAACTAACAAAGAAAATAACATCACACTAACAGTCAAACATGGTGGTGGTAGTGTGATGGTCTGGGGCTACTATGGTACTTCAGAAACAACGCTACTAAAAAAGCCTGGAGGAGACTGTTCAGTCATCTGTTTGTCCCCCGGAGCTCAAGTGTACTTGGATTATGCAGCAGGATGAAGATCTGAATGAAGGTTTTGGAGTGACCAAGTCCAGATTTGGCATGATGTTAAACAGGCTGT